CCCACTCTCTCCACTCCTCTTCAATCTAGTATTAGAATGCCTAGCTACAGCAATAAGACAAGATGCAGACATAAAGGGGATCCAAATAGGGAAAGAAGAAATAAAACTCTCCCTATTTGCAGATGACATGATCTTGTATTTAAAGAATCCCATGGAATCCACTCCCAAATTACTCAAGCTGATTCAAAACTTTGGCAAAGTAGCAGGTTATAAAATTAACCCCCAAAAATCAATGGCTTTTCTGTATGCCAACAATGAGAAAACTGTGGCTGAAATTAGGAAAGCAACTCCATTTGTAATAGCCCCACAAAAAATAAAATACCTAGGAATTAACTTAACTAAAGAAGTGAAGGACCTCTATGATGAAAACTTTAAAATCTTGAAAAAGGAAATCAACACAGAACTTAAAAAATGGCAAAACCTCCCATGCTCCTGGATTGGAAAGATTAACATCGTGAAAATGGCAATACTTCCCAAGGCTATCTACAAATTCAACGCAATACCTATCAAAATTCCACCCTCATTCTTCAAGGAAATAGAAGAGGCAATCCAAAAATTCATATGGAACAATAAAAGACCTCGAATAGCAAAAACGCTCCTCAATGGAAAGAACACTGCTGGAGGAATATCAATACCAAATTTCAAACTCTACTATAAAGCCATAGTAATCAAAACAGCTTGGTATTGGCATAAGAACAGACCTCAGGACCAATGGAATAGAATTGAAAACCCAGAAATGAACCTACAGACCTATAGCCATCTAATCTTCGATAAGGGAGCTAAAACAATAGAATGGAAGACAGACAGCCTCTTCAGTAAATGGTGCTGGCAAAATTGGTTAACTACATGTAGAAAACTAAAGCTAGATCCTTATATATCACCCTGCACCAGAATCAACTCCAAATGGATCAAAGACCTTGAAGTCAAAGCAGACACTCTGAAAACATTACAGGATGGAATAGGAGAAACCCTGGGTCTCCTTGGCTCAGGCCGAAATTTTCTGAATAGAGACCCGGAAACACAACAAATCAAAGAAAGGCTGGACAAATGGGATTGTATAAGGTTGCAGAGCTTCTGCAGGGCAAATGACATAGCTAGCAAGATCAATAGAAAGCCCACGGACTGGGAGAAGATCTTTACTAGCCATACAACGGACAAGGGTCTCATATCTAAAATATTCTTGGAACTCAAAAAATTAAACCACCCAACAACAAATCCTCAAAGAAACAACTGCCCAATAAGTAAGTGGGCGAAAGACTTAAAGAGAAGCTTCTCTGAAGAAGAAAGAAGGATGGCCAATAGACACATGAAGAAATGTTCAACATCCCTAGCCATAAAAGAAATGCAAATCAAAACAACATTGAGATATCACCTCACTCCAGTTAGAACAGCAAAAATCAAGCACTCTAACAACAACAGATGCTGGAGGGGATGTGGACAGAAAGGAACCTTACTTCATTGTTGGTGGGAATGTAAACTTGTTCAACCACTTTGGAAAGCAGTATGGAGGTTCCTCAAAAGACTCCACATAGAGCTCCCCAATGACCCAGCAATCCCACTTTTGGGCATTTACCCAAATGATCACAAACAAGGCCACACTAAAGCTACCAGCACAACTATGTTTATTGCAGCATTATTTACCATAGCTAAGATATGGAACCAACCCAGATGCCCCTCAGTAGATGAATGGATCAAGAAGATGTGGTATATATACACAATGGAATTCTATGCCTCCATCAGAAAGAATGACATTTCCCCATTTGTTAGGAAATGGAAAGGCTTGGAAAAAATTATATTAAGTGAAGTAAGCCAGGCCCAAAGAAACATAGGTCCCATGGTTTCCCTTATTTGCAATATCTAGTATAGGTATGAGTCAAGCGGAAAAAGTCAGATAATGTGATGTTAGGAAAACGAAACCTCAAATATGTATTTTAATGTTTTTGTTTCTTTCATGCATGTGTTTCTAACGCATTTATAAGATTATTTCTTTGTTGCTTTGTATGTCCCTCCCCCACAGTGTAACCCCCGCTTTCACTATATTTGATGTCAGTATAACATGTGGAGGAGATGGGGACAAACAAGTCGTTTAAGGATTCAGGTGGACCTGTTGCAACAATGAGAAGTACAAAATGTCATGTCAAAAACCAGCTTTACAATGTCGGTGGGGGGGGGGGGGGTATGATTGGGTGGGAGGGAGGGGGGAGGCTGGGAAGGGAGGTGAAGGGTAAACAAAGGAGGAGGCTGCAATGCTTGGTAAGAAATGTATGCATTATCCTGCCCATGTAATTGTAACCCCTCTGTACAGTATGTTCTCAAATAAAATAAAATAAAATTAAAAAAAAAATAGTGGAAAGGAAACAAGATTATTTATATTAGGTGGAACATATTTTTGTTGGTGTTTATTTGTTTTTGTTTTTCTGTATTAGTTCTGGGGCTTAAAATCATAGCCTAGGCGCTGTTTCTTAGCTTTGTTCCTCAAAGCTAGTGCTGTACTGCTTGAGCCATACCTCCATTCCTGTTTGTTTGTTTGTTTGTTTTGGTAATAATTGAAGATAAGAGATTCACAGACTTCCCTGCTCAGGTTGGCTTTAACCCTCAGATTCCAGCCTCAAGTAGTTAGGTTTCCAAGCAACAGATACTGGCACCTGGTTTTTGTCATAAAGTTTTGCAAAAAGAGTGAAACTATTGTTATATAACTCTATTTTCCCAATTTCTAGAAAGCTGAAAATAAAATGCGTGACATATTTGCAGAAATTTGTAGAAGCTGATGGTGGACATTAACTCATTCATTTGACCTCTAACATTGTCTTACATTTTATTGCTTTCTTTGACACTGTATATTTTCTCTTTTGTGTCTTGTATATTGTAAGAAACCTCCAATCTTTTGCTAATGTTGCAAGATGATTTCACTTAATAGGTGTTTGTTTTTGCTGTAGTCTATGTTTTGTAAGACTTAGGTTCTAGACCTTATACGGCTGGGAGAAAATGTGTTTAATTTAAACTATCATTGAACATTCCTTGAGAAGGATCTGTGGCTAAGTATATCTCTAGAGGTTTCATACACCCAATTTTCACACCTTGTTTGAAACAGATAAATATTGTATTGAGTGTTAGACAAATAGATGGGTCTGCCTTCAGGTAGGGCATCTGACAAAACATGGGCATATTAAAACTACAGTATCTGATGATTATGCTATATGAGAGAGGCTCAGTGGAATTGATATTTCTGCTCCTCACCTCAGGCATTTAAAATTGCATTTTGTTTTGTGGTATTTATGTTTTGTTTTGTTTTTTTGGGTCCGGTCATGGGGCCTGAACTCTGGGCCTGGGCGCTGTCCCTCAGCTCTTCAGCTCAAGGCTAGCGCTCTACCACTTGAGCCACAGCTCTACTTCCGGCTTTTTTCTTTTTTGCTTATGTGGTACTGAGGAATCAAACCCAGGGCCTCTGGCATGCAAGGCATGTGCTCTACCACTGAGCCACCTTCCTAGCCCCTGTTTTGTGGTATTTATGTATTTCTTCTTTCCTTCTGTATGAGTCAGTCTTACCTTTCACAGAAAACAATGATAGAAATACACATCCCAACAGGTGGACCCATTGCAACAATGAGATGTACAAGATGTAATGTCGAAAAATGAACTTTACAACTTTGGTGGTGGTGGGGGAGTGGCAGGTGACGGGGGGTGAGATGGGAGGGCAGGGATGGGAAGGGGAAACAAAGGAGGAGGCAACAATGCTTGATAAGAAATGAACTCATTACCTTGCTCATGTAATTGTAACCCCTCTGTATGGTATTTTCACAATAAAAAAACTTATATTAAAAAAAGAAATACACATCCCACATGGAGGCCATATCTAACAATTTTTCAGTTTTATTTAATTTTACTTAATGTTGGAGTGGCAAGACCTTTTTATGTTTTCAAGCTGGTAAGAATGAATTTTTAGTTTTTTTTTTTTTTCATATAGTTAAAACATATCTAGGATTGTAACAGTGGGTATTTTGGAGACAAGAATGCCTAAGGACACAAAATTTGATTTTTTTTCAACCAGTCCTGGGACTTGAACTCAGGGCCTATGCACTGTCCCTGAGCTTCTTTTGCTCAAGTCTAGCACTCTACCACTTGAGCCATAGCATACTTCTGGCTTTTTCTGTTTATGTGGTACTGAGGAATTGAACCCAGGGCCTCATGCATGCTAGGCAAGCACTCTGTCACTAAGCCACATTCCCAGTCCCACATAATTTGATTTTTGTGTGTGTGTTTGTATGCTGGTATTGGGCTTGAGCTCAGAGCTTGGGCACTGTTCCTTAGCATTTTGCTCAAGGCTAGCAGTCTACCACTTGAGCCACAGCTCCACTTTCAGCTTTTTGCAGGTTAATTGGAGATAAGAGTCTTACAAACTTTCTTTTTGAACCACAATCCTCATATCTCAGCCTCTTGAGTAGCTACCGATGCCCAGTCATAATTTGATTTGTGTAAGGCAGTATTGTATCATAATTTACATTTCATGCTGGGCACCGGTGGCTCACGTCTGTAATCCTAGCTACTCGGGAAGCTGAAATCTGAGGATTACTGTTCAAAGCCAGCCTGGGCAAGGAAAGTCCTTGAGACTCTTATCTCCAATTATCCACCAGAAAACTGGAAGTGGCGCTGTGGCTCAAGTGGTAGGGCACTAGCCTTGAGCTGAAGAGCTGAGAGACAGTGCCTAGACCCAGAGTTCAAGCCCCATGATGACAAAAAACAATTACATTTCAGAGGATCTGCTGTTAGTAAGACTTCCTAGGACCTAGGTATAATTATTTAGTGTCCACATACGTTTGAGTCCTCATTTATAAATGGCTTTGCTGCTGGTATCTTCAGAGATTTAATGAACTGATAAGTCTAAAATTCTTGAATCAGTAATCACAAGCCATGTTTTCAATAAAGCGTTACAGCATTGCCTAATCTATATCTGTGAATGGCTTGTACAGCTCCTTTCACCTCTCCCTTCTCCTCCCTTGCAGGTGGCCCCCGCCATTAAAGAGAGGATGATGAAGAAGGGAAGCCTCATGCTGGGCTACCAGCCCCACAAAGGAAAGGTCAACTTCTTCCGCCAGGTGCTGATCAACCCTCAAGTGAGCCGGGAAGACATGGACTTCCTCCTGGATGAGATAGACCTTCTAGGAAGAGATATGTAGCCATGGCTTCTGTTCCCCAGAAGTATGGACCCTGTTCTGGGGAGGGTGACAGTCCAAGGCATCTGGAGATAGTAGATACATAGTAGAGACAGTTCTTCTGATGACTAATAGGAAATTCCAAGTTCCCACACAGAAAACACAAACGTTAAGAAAATATCCTGTTCAGAGCTCTTTTGATGCATGGGCACTATTGTTGCTAGAAAAGAGAAAAAAAGTGTGTGTGTGTGTGTGTGTGTGTGTGTGTGTGTGTGTGTGTGTATGTGTGTGTGTACACATATATATGTAGGGTTTTTTTCCTCAGTTGGTCTGGGGTCAGCCTTCAGGAAAGTATAGTAAGAACCATGCAGATCCTGGATTATAAATCTGCACCACTCTTTAAAGAACCAATAAATGAAAAGTTTAAAGCAGCACCAGATTACTTGTTAAAAATCCAGACCAACTGAATTAAAAACTCTGGGGGAAGGCCCAGTATTCTATATTTTAACAAACCCTCCAAGTGATTCTGATACACAGCAAAATCTGAGAATTTCTGGTTTAAGAAAAACCTTGCCTTGATTAAATAACTAATCTGACATTTTCCCACCAAAAGGAGATCTAGTATTTTAGTAGACCCCAAGACACTGAAAAATACAACTGTGGCATTTATAGTACAAATTTTTTAAGGTCATCAGTGGCATATCAAAATTATTTTTTAAAAGAGGTATTTACTTTATAAAGGCTAAATATGTATTTTCTAAAGTTAAAAATAATCATTATCTATTGCAATTTATCTAGTTAGAGAAGAGGATAAAAAATCAAACATTGCAATGTGACCTTCTTGATTAATGAGCAGTAGTTCTGATTCATTTCCTAAAATGACTTGCGTCAATAGCTTGAAGCAGACATTTTATATGGGGGATGGGGTAAGGAATTGGCCTTCTTTCAGCTTTAGGAGCTCTTTTCTCATTTTGTTGTCTACTCTCCTGGGAATAACTAGAAGGAAGTCCAGGGTTGCACAACATTCCCTTTCCCAATCTGAAAAGTCAATGTAGACTTATAAGTAATTGTTACTGGATGTAGAATCTAGGAATTAGAGACCTCTCTGGGGCAACACTTCCTCCATTTCTATTGGAAGTAGTTGATTGTAACTTCATCCCTCATCCTGGTCTAGATTTTATTTGACAGAATACAGAGATTTGGGTGTACCATTAATGTTCTGAATTAGAAAGTAAAAGAGAGTGGTCTAGGAAGGTGGCTCAGTGGTAGAGTGCTTGCCTTGCATGCATGAGGCCCGGGGTTCAATTCCTCAGTACCACATAAGCAGAAAAAGTCAGAAGTGGCACTGTGGCTCAAGTGGTAAAGCACTAGCCTTGAGCTGAAGAGCTGAGGAACAGTGCCCAGGCCCAGAGTCCAGGCCTCATAGCTGACAAAAAAAAAAAAGGTTGAAGAGTGTTCCACTCTTAGACTTAACATAAAACACCTTTTCCTACTGCATCATTGACTCTTGCCATGTAAAATTTGAGAGATAGATGTGTACTGTTTTGCTTTTATGGAAAGTTTTTGTTTTAGTGTACATGGTTTCAAAATCTGAATTATTTCAAATTCTCTGATGGTAGCCATTTGTAGGTATAGATTTCTGTGTTTTACATGTCTTGCTGCTTTTAAAGAATGTCTACATAAAATGCTTTCTGAAATTGATCCTTGCACTAGTTTGGATTTCTTGAAATAAAAAGCATTATCAGAGCAGTTCCCATTGCTGACCTTCCTTTTCCCTTCCTCTTCATCAAAAACATTTTAGAAGTGGACTGTATTTCATGTACATTTTACTTTGACAATGGAGGAAGTTGGAAGTGATCTGCTTTTCAGCTAAAACCTTGAATAAAATAGCAAAAACAAACTATGGGTTGATCTTTGATATGGTCTTTGTTTCTAGTAAGCTATTCATGGGAAACTCAATAGATAGCCATAGCTCAGCTCCTGCTGTGACTTTTTATGAGAAACAACAATTTTCCTCAATCAATGGGAAATAAAATTGGTATCAGATATACTGAAAATTACACTTTTTACTGAAAAATTCAGATGTACTACATTCAGGCACTTATGGGTCACAAAAATGATCATTTGATTGAAAGGAAATCATAATGAACATATTTACAGTTGATCTTCTGTATTCTAGGCAATTATATAGGTGCTAGAGATATGCAGTGGACAAAATAGACAATATTCTGGCTCTCCTAAAGCTTTCATTCTAGAGGAGACAGACAATTATCACATAATATGTAACAAGAGGTGGTAAAATGGAGGCTATTTTGCTAAGAATTAAGTGCTGTTAAATAAACTGTTAAGAATGTTAATTGGTCTTTATTACAAATCACCCTTTCAATGTTTGCTTTTCCTTCAGTAAGCTAACTTGTTGAGGGCTTCCACATGACTCTTTAGTTGACAGTTTTCAGCCTCTTTTCTTGTGTTTAGTTGCCTTAAGACAGAGAACTGTCAACCAGGCAGTTTCTCTTTTGGAGGTGACATGCCAGACTGTTTTATGGCAAGATAGCTGCTTCGAGTACTCCATAGATACCTTAAAAATTAAAAAACAAAAACAAAAACAAAACCTACAATCCATCTTCAGGGAACACTACACTGAAGCTATGAATCTTGCTCCAAAAAGCCATGTTCAAGCTGTGACTGCTTCAGACAACTTGTAACAGCTTTAGTCATTACAAGCCTCAGTGCACTCTAAAGACTGCAGCTATTCTCACAGGCCAAATAGGTAACACGTCCCTTAATGACTCAACAGAAAGTTTGTGATTGGTGGAATTAGAACCTCTGCTGTTTCTGGTTGAAACTCAATCTATGTTTGCATTCTACACCACCACCTTCCTATATAGTCATGCTGTTTTTCTCACTTTTGTATGTGTTCAAAATGATGATGGATTTGTAGGGAACATGAACAGCCAAGACATCAAAAATCAGAAAGCTGTGAAGAGTCAAAAATGTGGGTCAGTATCACTGGTATGGTAGACTCCAGGGCAAAGTTCCTAATAATGAAGGCCTGATAGCTATACCTGTTGTTAAGGGTCAAGGGTCTTGATGCTTGAGGCCCAGGAGTTGTAACAGAAGTAAGACTGAGGATCCTGACAACAAAGGCTTGGAGCTGTAAAACCAACTTGTACCAACAGCTGCTACCCTAGCTGCTAAAAAGAGCCAGGGATTATACCAACTGCTGTGGTCTAAGCTGCAGTTAACCGAGGCCCAGAGCAACAAGCCTCAACCTGAGCTCCCAGAATTGTAAGTCTCTGTTTTCCAAAGCTTAGAACCATAGTCTCTAGGTCTCAGAGTTTGGAGTTATAAGTCTTTGAGTCTGTCAGCTTATTCATGGACCTTTGGAATTCTAGGGCCCAGAACTGCCAACACCAGATGAGCTCTTCCTTGCCTACTTTTGATTTCTATCTTAGTAAAGTAGAAGAAACTTAGCCAGCTGTTTGCTAACAGTGGTATGTGTTTCAAAATAGTAAAGAGAGTAAAGGGATAGAGTATGGAAATGAGAAGAACAAAATTAGGCAAGAACTTTGTTTAGGTAACATTTGAGTAGGCACTTTAAAGAAGTTAAGGAAAGAGTCATGTGAGTAGCTGGGGAAAGACTTTTCTAGAGAGAGGCCCTAGTAAGGCCAGAGGTCTGAGGCATTGCATTCATGGTATGCCCAAGGAACAAGAGAACATAGGGTGATTGAGACAGAGTAAGAAGGATGATGAATTTAATGTAAAGAAGCATAGGGGTTGTATAGGAGAACTCGTCACCTGGAAACATACTGGAACATTTGAACTGGAACTGGAGCTACTGCAACTCTTGTCATTTAACTTTTAATTTTTTTTGAGCTTTTATAGGGGCTTAATTTCAGGGCCTTATGCTCTTACTTAGCTTTTCACTCAAGATTGGCACTCATGTGAACCACACCTCCACATCCAGCTATTTTCTGGTTAATTAGAGATAAGAGTTGCATGGACTTTCCTGCCCCTGCTGACTTCAAACCAAGACTCTCAGATCTCAGCTTCCTGAGTAGCTAGGATTACAGATGTGAGCTGCTAGTGTATTTTAAAACAAGTACACTGATGGCTGTTTAGAGAGTAGAGTTTCTAGGGGCAAGAGTATGTACATGAAGACAAAACAAATGGCAACTGAAAGAGCTAAATCAAGAAATGATGGTCATTTGGACCTGAATTGAATTGGAGGGAAGGTTGAAAAGGGGTTAAATGCTAAAGCCACTTAGTAAATAGGACTCACTAATGTAATGGAATATTGAAATAGAAATGGGGAATTAAGGATAAAATTCCTTGCCAGGCACCCGTGGCACATGCCTGTAATCCTAGCTACTCAGGAGGCTAAGATTTGAGGATTGTGGTTCAAAGCCAGCCCTGGCAAGGACAGTGCCCAAGCCCAGAGTTCAAACCCCACAACCAACAACAAAAAAAGGATAATTCCTCAAACTTTGGCATAAGCATCTATTAGAAAGACCCTGACACTTACTGAAATGACCATTAAAGAACAGTTTAACCTGGTGTGGCCCATGCAAAATTTGAGTTGTCTATAAATGGCCCAACTCTAGATGATCTACAAGTAATTATTTGTAGTCTCAACTTCATAGAGGAAGTTGTCACTGAAGATATAAATTTACAGTCTATCAGGATATTATTTTAAGCTATGGAATTGGGTGAGATCATATCATATAGACTGTATTTGTAAATGAAAAGGAGTAGCAGGCTAAAGAGTAACATACTGGAACACCAACTCACAAGGAGGAGGGACTTTCATGTCCCCTGAAGGGAGCCACTAATGAGGCAGGAGAAGCACTAGGAGAGAGTTGCTGTCCAATGGCCAAGTATAGAAATTTTGTTTTGAAAGAGGAAGTGTCCAGTCATGTTAAATGCTGTGGGTGGAGTCAAGTAAGAGTTACTTTAGAATTTGCAGTGGTGTTGAAATTTTGTCTACTAAATGTAAGCACTTAAAGTATAAATCTTCAATCTGG